GAACGAAAAAACAAAGAAGGATCAAGTAAATGTAACTGATGGAAATCATGATCCAAACTTTGTTGTTGTGGTAGAAGAAGCCAACTTAGTTGGATTTGAAGTAGGATGGTGGCTAGATATCGGAGCTACAATTCATGTAAGTAATGACAAATCTCAGTTCAAGACTTACAAAGAATGCACCGATGGAAGAGAAGTAAAAATGGGTAACAATGTTCATACCAAAGTTGTTGGAATTGGATTAGTTGAACTGAAATTCACTTCGGGAAAGAATCTGACTTTGGCAGAAGTTCTCCATGTGCCTGAAATGACCAAGAACCTGATTTCTGGGGATCGCCTTAACAAGGCAGGTTTTAAGCTTGTAATTGAGTCTGATAGCTTTATAGTATCTAAGAATAATGTATTTGTCGGAAAAGGTTACTCATGTAATGGTATATTTAAAATGAATCTAATAAATGATACTTTGCTTATACTATTGATTCTTTACCTTTATGGTATGCTAGATTAGGCCACATAAATTATAAATCCATTAAGAACATGCATAGTTTAGGAATTATTCCTAAATGTAAGTTTGATGATGTTAACAAATGTGAAATATGTGTTCAAGGTAAAATAACGTGTAAACCACATAAATCTGTTATGCGAACATCTGAATTACTTGGTCTTATACATTCCTATGTGGCTGATCTGCATAGTAAAGTTTCACGTGGAGGGAACAAGTACTTTGTGACCTTTATAGATGATTTTTCAAAATATGCTTATGTATACTTACTAAAAAGTAAAGATGAAGTTTTAAGCAAATTTCTTATTTATAAAGTAGTAGTGGAAAATCAATTAAATCGAAAAATTAAAGTCCTATGTTCTGATAGAGGAGGTGAATACCAAGTAGTAGAATTAGCAAAATTCTATGAAACTAAAGGTATAGTTCACGAGTTTACTCCACCATATTCGCCGGAATCAAACGGAGTAGTAGAAAGAAAAACAGGACTTTAGTTGAAATGGTAAATTGCATGCTTATTAGTTCTGGTTTACCTGATCAATGGTGGGGTAAAGCAATCTTAAGTACATGTTATACTCTAAATAGGATTCCTATGAAGAAGATTAACACAACTCCATATGAGTTGTGGTTCAATCAGAAACCTAATATTAGTCGTCTCAAGGTGTGGGGATGTCTCGCATATGTAAGAAAACCAAATCTAGAGATCACTAAATTAGGAAGTAAAACTTATAAATGTGTATTCATAGGTTATGCAAAAAACAGTACTGCTTATAGGTTTCTGAAGTTAGAATCCTATGATGTTATCAAATCAATTGATGCTGAATTTTTTGAAAATATATACAAGTCTTCAACTATACAAACTGAAAATAATTCTACTTCTAGTTCCTCTAAGAGAATTCATGAAGAATCTCTTGATGATACTTCTATTGAACCACAATCAGAAATAGAACCTAGAAGGAGTAAGAGACAAAGGAAAGAAAAATCTTTCGGATCTGAATTTGTGACTTATTTGCTAGAAGGTGATGTAAATAATATTACACATCAGGCTAAGCTAATGCTCAATGTTGATAGTGATCTTGTCACATATTCAGAAGCTATTTCCTCTCGAGATGCTGTACTTTGGAAAGAAGCAATCAATGATGAAATGAGATCCATTATGTCAAATCAAACATGGAAACTGGTTGATTTACCTCGTGGTTCTAAACTAATATGTTGTAAATGGATTTTCAAGAGGAAATTAAATGCAGATGGCTCTATAAATAAGTATAAAGATCGATTAGTAGCTAAAGGTTTTAAACAACGTCATGTCATAGATTATTTTGATACTTACGCTCCCGTAGCAATGATATCTTCCATCCGCTTGTTGCTATCTCTTGCTTCAACTCACAATTTAGTTGTCCATCAAATGGATGTAAAAACGACTTTTCTAAATGGTGATTTGGAGGAAGAAGTATATATGGAGCAACCCGAGGGTTTTGTTTTACCTGGACAAGAAAAGAAGGTTTGTAAACTAGTTAAGTCTCTTTATGGTTTAAAACAAGCCCCTATGCAATGGCATGAAAAGTTCAATAAAGTAATGTTGTCTAACGGTTTCAAGGTTAATGAAGTAGATAAATGTATCTATTCTACATGTAGAAATGGTACATGTACTCTTATTTGTTTGTATGTAGATGACATGCTTATTTTCGGTCCTAACTTAGAAAGTGTTAAGGAGACCAAACAATTGCTAGAGTCTAACTTCGACATGAAGGATTTAGGCGAAGCAAATGTGATCTTAGGGATTAAAATAATAAGAAAAGATGGATGCATATTGCTGAATCAATCTCATTATATTGAAAATATCCTTAAAAGATATGGTCGTATGGGTCATAAATCCGCATCAACTCCGATAGATCCTAGTATTAAGTTAAGGAAAAATACTGGTAGATCTTATGACCAACTACAATATGCAAGTGTGATTGGAAGTCTTATGTATGCTATGCACTGCACAAGACCAGATATTTCATATGCAGTTGGCATATTGTATCGATTCACTAGCAATTCAGAAAAAGAACATTGGAATGCAGTTTCAAGAATCCTAAGATACTTGAAAGGAACTATTGATTATGGATTACATTATCGTGGATTTCCCGCTGTACTTGAAGGATATAGCGATGCAAGTTGGAACAACATAGAATCGAATTCTAAATCCACAACAGGTTGGATTTTTACTTTAGGAGGTGCAACTGTTTCTTGGTGTTCTAAGAAACAAACATGCGTCTCAGATTCGACTATGTTGGCAGAATTTATTGCTTTGGCTGATGCAAGTAAAGAAGTTGAATGGCTAAGAAATTTGCTAATAGATATCCAATTTTGGGAGAAACCATCTCCAGCTGTGATGATCTATTGTGATAGTAAAGTTACTTTGTATTCGGTAGCAAACAAGACTTACAATGGTAAGCAACGACATCTCAGTATTAGACATCAGTCTCTTCGAGGATTACTTAAGCAAGGAGTAATCACCGTTGAATATGTAGAGTTGAAGAATAACCTAGCAGATCCTTTGACAAAAGGATTGGCTAGAGAGATTATTGCGAAAACATCGAACGGAATGGGATTGAGGTCTATGTAACTTCAGTTAGCTTTAATGGGAACCCTACTTATGTTTTGAAATATAAACAAAGTTCAAAGGGTACAAACAAGTTAAAGTCTAATTTAGACGAGACACTAGAGTATTAGTTCAAACCCATTCATAAAATCTCTAGTGTATATATTCTGTATGGTTGATGATGGATTTAATTCCTTAATAAGTTCTATTGAGAGAGAAAGTAACTCGTAGAATTACTTTATAAAGAACTTACCTATGTGAGTGAGAAAGTCAGGCCGTTTTCTATGAGATTTAGACCGTCTCTAAAGCACTCATGAAATTCGGAATATACGCAAGGCCATTAATGCGTTGGTATAAAAGATACACTCCTTTTTATCGGAATAGTATGAGTAATGACTCCGGTTAGTCATGATAGGGTCCTTGGTTCAAGATTCATTCACCATAGCACCTTGACAAAACTTTGAGTTGTTTGCACTAAGTGAAAGTTCAAAGTCAAAAACTACTTTCATTTATGTACGATTTCCTACGATGATGCCTTTTATGTGTGTTTGCATGAACTACGGTGGCTTGATCCCGTTAAGGGTACGTAGGCAATCAATTTTTGTGATGCAGCCGCTTCATTTTTTCTAAATCAAAATTTTGAAAAATAGGGGGGATATGTTAGATATTTTTTATTATTTTGCATGTATTTATTTTTGTTTTCCGAATGATTTGCCGCCCCGACTAGTGTTTGCAGCTGCGCAACGGGTATCGACCTGTGTCTGGGCGAATTCTCATTTGCTAAACATATTAAAAAAATTTATTCTTCTTTCTTTCTCTTGGCATCAATCAGTTATTTTCGAGTGTCTTCTTGGTTTGATCAAATAGTCACAATTTGAATCAAACGTCTCCATTGTATCCTGAGAGAGATTTTCTATCATACCCCCGTTGTGACTTTGTTGGATAGGGGAGAAACATCTCTTAAAAGATAATATTTTTTTTCGTGCCTTGGAGTTCATTAAGTATTCAGATTTCCCTACATTTTTTTCAACAAAGCAAAAGCACTAATTTTCTCAGTTTCGAAAATCAACAGCTGCGAAACCTTGCATGACTTATTAATTATCACAACACAGCATTTTTCTCTGCATCCAAGAGTTTTAGGTAAAGGCACAACCAGAGGCACTTAGAGAACTGTAAAGAATGCTACGGAACACAAATTGAACATCAAAATTTACTGCAATATGAAGAAGTTTATATATGGCTAACTCGTATCATGTCTTTGATCAGTGTAAATATGTCACATTGCTATAATGAGATGTGCAACTGTACCTATAAGATCAAAAGCTAAGGACCGACAAGAGAGAGAGAGAGAGAATTCTTAGAGATTCTCAATATCAATCACGGATAAATTTCTTACTCAAGACGTAAGTTGGGTTTCTTTTTTTTCTTTTTTTTTTATACCTGCATTTAGTTTTCGTATAGTACATCTTCTTCATGCCTTCTCGTAGGGCCGGCCTTTAAATTTTAGGTGCTCTGTGTGGCATTTTAAAATGGTGCTCTTTCATGTAATTAAAAGTACAATAAGAAAAAAAATATTCCTAATAACAAATTCCTTTTGCCTGGCCGCATAAAGGATAAATCTGCTTGGAGGCAAGCAGATGCCTTCTCCAAGCAGATTTAAGCTCTTCATCGAGAGAAAACCCATTGCATAGCAGCGAGGCCCAACTAACCCTCTTGATAGAGAGTAAGCTCTCCACGTAGTAGTGAACTCCAATCACCCTAGCATCAACTCGCAAAATTTCAATTGTCTTGCTTTCTCTGGTTTCAACGTCATATAAAATCAGTTCACCCGTTCCTTTTTTCGGTACAAATATTCCGTTCACACAGCTAATGAAAACAGGTTCAATATCTAGTTCAAAGGTGAATTTCTTACTCCATGATTCCTTCCCAACCGCGTCATTTTCCATTGTCCATACTTGATATATTTTTCTGTGCTCCACTGATGCACATCCTACCAAAGCAAAAGATTCTTTCCAATTCATAGCAAAAATTGGAAAATGATGGAAGAGCATATTTTCATGCCATCGTGCAAGGTGTAGCAGCGAAAGCTCCTTGAGTAAAAGTTTTGGCACAGGAACCACCTGCAGACAAATTCATCTGTAATTTATTTTTTCAAAGAAAAAATAAAAATTGCTTTTTGAAATTAATTACAGGTGCAATGGCAGAGACTTCCTTGCTATTTTTGGAAAAGCTATTGTTGGATGGTTGGAGATTTAGATTAAGTTTTGGGCTTTAGTCCAATTTTTTTCTTTATCTTTTGAGTCTTTTGGGGCCACAAATAATTGTTATTTTTATCGCTTTATGAATATCTTAAATTCTTGTTTGAAATATTGTCATTCTTGATATCATGATATATAGATTTATTTATGACATTACTCGTGATACTATGAATAGGTTGCATATCATTTTACGTGAATTTTTATTTGATTAATTTAAATTAAATTAAATTTTTTTGGATAGAAAAATCGTAATAATTAAACTGTATATTAATTTAATTAATATGAACAGTTGATAATTGTTAAAATTCGTTATTTTAAAATATTGAGTGGGAGAGGGTGTTTTAAATAAAAACCTACGATCTCCTTTGGTCAATCCATAAGCAAAGTAACGCGCTTGCCTCGTGCTGGTAATGCAACGAACTCCCTATGGGAGGGCCGCGTGGTTCAAGTTGCTTGATGGATTTCTTTATGATAAAATCGTCTAACTAAAATATACTTTGTGATCATCCTATAGATGGTGAAATTATTTTCAAATTTTTAGAGATTGAGACAAAGGTTGTACGCTCAAATAGAAATTATTTACAAACCTCCCATAGAGGCTCTCGTTTATAATTTTGGTGACCAAATAAACGATGCTAAGTTTAATATAGACATTTGTTGTCAGATATATTTCGTTTAGTGGGAGGATATCAGCTTGATCAGTGGACACATTGACCTTTTCCATAGAGAGGCATATTGGATCACAGGGATCAAGTCATCATTGCATTATTGTAGTTAGATGGATCTACACATGCATTCATGCATCATATGCTAAATTGTCATTCGCTGCTCAATTTTAATATGCAATAAATTGTTATTTTCCAGCAAAATGTCTCTCAACACTTTTTTCGTTATTCTAAAACAAAACCAACTTGTCGGGGATAATTATGTGGATTGGAAACGTAATTTAATGTTTGTGCTTATTGCTGAAAAACTTGATTTTGTGCTAGAAGAAGAATGTCCCGAGGAACCTACTGAGACTACAGGCAACTCCAAGAGGGTTGTGTATGATAAGTGGATCGCTGCTGACAAGATGGCTCGCTGTTATATTTTGGCATCCATATCAAACGTGTTACGGCAAAAGCTTGAAAGTCAGGAGATCTCTTATGACATACTAGAAAGCCTGAAGGGCATGTTTGGACATCAAAGTAGGAGGGCTCTCTTTGAGGCCATTCGTACCTTACAGAACATCCACATGAAACCCGAAATGCATGTGAAGGATCATAGGTTAACTATGATTGCACATTTCAACATGGCAGAGAATCTGGGTGCAACTATTGATCGGGAAACTCAAGTTGATATGGTATTGAATTCTTTATCTAATATGTTTTCATAGTTTACTGTGGACTGTCACTTGCACAAGATGAATATACCATTAACTGAGTTGATGAACGAGTTGCAAAATGTGGAAATTGGTCTTAAGGGTAAGGGTGGCCATGCTCACGCAGCAATTGCTAGCTTCTCTGGCTCCAAGCTGAAAGGCGGAATTCGAAAGAAAAGAAAAAGATCTAACAAGAAGTCAGGAAGCAACAAAAAGCCCAAATCAGATGGAACGGGAAAGGCAAGTGTTTCCACTGTGGTCGCAAAGGACACTGGAAGAAAGACTGCCCTAATGCACTAGCTAAAAAGCTGGGTGTTGGTGAGTTTTTCACTGTTGAGTCATGTTTGGTGGCTGATTCTACAAATTCCTGGGTTGTATTTTAATGGACATGTGCAAGGCATGGGTTTACAGGACATGACACATATACTCTAGGGCAAGTGGGAGATTTGTTGGGTTGTGTGCTCATATAGTATAGTTTTGCTGATATAAAAATAACAATAATAATTTTTATATTGAATAAAATTATTTTTACTTTATTTGTTGCATTTATTTATTGAGCATGCGAAATTAAAGTGCCTGTGATCACTTGTGATAATATGAGTTGGGTATTTGCGTTGAGAAGTACAGTGAGACACAACTTATATTTTGATCATAAATAATTTGTTCACAATCAATGTATAAGGGTTGACACCTTATATTGGAAGGTTGTAGTGTTGACCAATTCACTATTCAGATTTGTGATTTGTCCTTACCACAGAAATAGTTAAAGGTGACACTAGTACACTTAGAGTATATTGAACGGACCACTTGTTGAATTTAATTCTGTAAGCATGATCGTGTGGAGAATTAAATTCCACTTGACCGCTATGTATTTCATCTGAATCCTTTAACAGGATTATGTATATCTTTTCGCGACTTTAATTGTTCTTCGATTCATCAATGGGTGATATCAATTTGATTGGTCAAATATCTCGATGAGTTGGGAATTTGAGAATGAGTGGAGTAGAGAACATGAATTCATGTCGAGAACCGTCATCCTGGAAAATGGGTAGAGTGACTACTTAAGTATTTTCTATTGAACGGTTAAAATCTGAGCTCAGTGTTTAGCGACAGCTAAATTTCAACATTTGTAATTTGTTCACAGGACCACTGAAGAAAATGAAACTTAAGTTAGTGAGAATAATTAGAGAGGCAAAACGGTCATTTTTGCTCGTACCTAATTATCGGATCTCGGACGGGGATAAAATACATATACGGCAGGTCAGAGAAAAGTATTACAGATTTATTTGCTTCTGTGATCATATATATTTCGAGAGTTCAGTGTTTTGCCTTTAGTGGAAAAAGCAATGACTAATAATTAGATTGGGTGGTCTAGGTTCAACTAGACATGATCTAATTATTGGAGCTTGAAAAATATATGTCCGATCAGGTTCCTGTGGTAGCTTCATAAAGTATTGTAATTTAATTACGGTAATTATAATAGTTTTGGGCTTAATTGTAATTACAATAAAGTTTTGTACTTGGTTGTAATTACTATGAAAGTTATAAACTTAATTGTAATTGTAATTGTAATTGAAGTTCTAGGACTACACATGCAATTATATGTAAACTAATTAGAATTAGACTTAAATTAGAACTCCTATTTGAGTTTTAATTAGAACTCTTGTTTGAATGTGGAATTATAATTGTACTAGAATTTTATCGTCTTTTTCTCTATAAATAGAGACTAGATGCATAGAAAAATACTACAACATTCATAATTCCATAAGATTCAAATTTGTAGAGAGAAAAAGAGAGAAAATATATTATTTTCTTGTTGTCCAAGATTCAAGAATTAGTTTCTAGATTAATTGAAAGAAGGTGCCAACACGCCCGTGTAGTATTTTCGTTAGAGAATACCATAGAAGGCTTGAAGGTAAAAAGCACCAATATTCTTGCAATTAAAGAAGACGGAAGTTCGCAGATCAGAGTTAATTAAAGGTTGATCATTGAACTTAGGTAAAAGATTCGAATCCTTTAATTTTGTTATGACATACACGTGAACATCTAGACGATCTTGCTTATTGAAGTAAAGAAAATTTTAATTTCTGATTAATTCTGCTTCTGCATTCCAACAGTTGATCCCCACAATGAACTGAAAGGAGGACTTCACCAATTTCTACGCTTGCGCAAGTTCCCTGTGGCTTACAGAAAGCCCCCTCATGCCTGTTCGGAGTCTACCGCTCCAACCAGGATTAAAAGGGTGGAAAGAATCATTTCCAAAAAATTTAGCCCAGTATAATGTTGCAGGCAATACCTGCAGTTTCTAGTGTCTAACTCGACACATTTTCTTACTCCCGGCTAACCAAATGCACATAGAAGTGGAGTTCATTTGTTCCAAAATCATGAATTCTGATTTTGGGATCAGGTACACCGCAATAGAAACAGGACTTTGGATAAGGCTTGCCCTTGATTTGGTGACAACACATTGCTGGACCTGAGAATAGCTAGTCGAGTTCCAAAACGGAAATAATAATGTGATGAAGATTTTGTTTGCATATCATCTTTAGCGCCTGTATAGTGTGTAATCGAGGATTTTTTCCATGTCATATTGTCAATAATCCAAGTAATATTGTAGGTACAGTACGTGAGCTCAAACAAAACAAGTTGGGTGACCAGCAACATTTGTAACGACCGCGAATAAAATATGGTAACAAATTACATCATCCCACTTCAAGAAGGAATGTAATTTTCTGAAAGAAAATCATAGCAACCAAGAAAATTTTCATTTTAAACATGTTATAATTATATTATTTCACTTGAACAGATAGCACTACATTTTATTTTATTTTTTGGGTGGGAGGTGTGTTGGGTGCGGGGGATGGCTTCTGCTTAACCACGTGGTGAGAATAATTTTTTTTTTTTTTTATAGAGAATCAATAAATATTTCGAATTGGACTCGCTCGCTTAAGTCGCCTTTAGGATGTAATATCAATGTAATAACTTCGCCAAAATCTCGATATTCAAAATATTGGAAAATATATCGAGTTCAGCAAACCCCTAGAACTTGTATATTAGTACAATGCACCTCTTGAAAAGTATCTAGACTATGAAATGATAGTACGATTACACTACATGTATACAGAGTCGGTCCTGTGATTGATGGGCCCTGAGGCGAAGTGTGTAAATTAGGCCCTCCCAATAAAAAATAATTACAAAATATCTCAATCTTCACACTGTTACACTTTCCAATACAATTACAATGTGCGCATGTGCAATTGTTCATCCCACAATAACCAATCATATAAGCCGACAAGGCTTCAAACATTTCTTATCTCTTCAATAGCAAGTTAGGGCAAGCCATTGCTTACCTGAGAAGTGGAATTTTGACGATAATTGTGGATTACACCCTTGAGAATGATCGTCACAACTCATGAGCTTGAAACAAAAATTTATATAAAATTATATATGATGTCTAAGATTTCCAAGACTAAGATCTAGTGATAAGGGAATTAAGAATATTTAAGAGCAGCAAACCTTCAATATTTGTGATTTGTCACCTCTCACTTTCTTTTTGCTCATTATATTCTTGAACCAAACTCTAGAGCCCATGAATCATGATCAATGCTTAATATAGCTCATTGGAATACTTTTTCAACCTCAGCAGAAGCCTTGTTTTGAAGTACTTTTTGCTTCTTCAGTTCTTCTCAAGCATCTCGAGAGTCTACACAAAGTCAATGAATGATTAATACTTTGGAAAAATCATAACCCAGGAGAACCTAAGGTCAATGCACAAAGGAACTAGAAAGTATTTGAAATTGATTCATGCCATTCAAATTTTGCATTTGGCTGTAGAAAATGCAGTTAGCTCTTGGGGATTCAAACAATAAAGAAAGACTATAGTGCAGAAAGTAAAAGATAACTTTCATAATTAACAAAAAAAGCTGCAAGTTGTGACCAAATTTCGGCCAAAAGATGGTTAGTTCATAGATTTAGGCACATATTATATTAGACTATCAGTTCAAATAATATTGAGCAAATCCATGTACAGTTATAATAAAAGCGAGACAATAGATATATATATATATTTTTTTTTTTTTTATCTATGGCAATAAACAAATGATAGAATTTGCTGTTTGCATACGGCATACCCATGTAACCCATCCAAATGCAAAAGGAAGTTTAGATTAGAAATGACCCTAAGAAGCCAAGTCAAAAGTCCAGAGCAGAAGAGTTGAAGAAGAGCTATTCGAACGACTTCTCAAAGATTTTGGGAACCGGTGGTCAGAGGAGGCGAGTCAGGTGACTGGCGAGGAATAGGCTGTTACAGGCACAGAAGGCCGGAGGCGAGTGGCCACTGACTTGAGGAAGACGACACTGAGGCAAGTGGTGACGACTATGGACTGATGAGCATAGAGCACGTCGAGAAGATTTTGGGAATTTTTTATTTTGGGAATTTTGGATTTTGATTGAATTTCAGATTTTGGGAATTTTTGGTTAAATGAATTGGATATTGGATATGTAAATAAATTGGGTTGGGTAAATAGATTTGAAAGGTAAATGGATTGTGGGCTTGTTGGATAATTGGTTTTGGCTCTTTGGGCTGGCTAACCTTGTTCTTAAGAGGGAAAAAAATTATTGGGCCGAAATTAGACCCTTTTGGTCGGTTGGATAGTTAGATTTAGCTCTGGGCCAATTGACCTTGTTCTTAAGAGGAGGGAAAAAAAAGTTTATTGGGCCAAAGTTAGGCCCCCTACGGTCTTGAGCTGAGGATTGGCCCTGCATATACATAATAGGTTTATATAATTATTTACACACACATAATGTGGTGAGATATGACTGTCAAAAGAATTTCAACAAAATAAAACTCTTTTTGACACCTTATCTGTATGTAAACTTTTATTTTATAACTACTTATGTACAAGTAGCATTACTCCTTTTTTTCTTTTGATGATGGGGGACCCCACAGCCGCTATCCTTCGGGTGTGCACTGGGTAAACTCTCGAACTGAAGCAATAGCTTGCAAACCACGTCAGCTAGGTAAACTGTACTAGGCAAGCCCTGTACGATAAGCTCGACCATGAAAGTGTTTGTAGGGGGAATCGAATTCATGACCAAAGGCCTCCGTGCTCACCTACTTCACCAACTCGGCCACCCCTTGATGGCCAAGTAGCATTACTCTTGACCATATGCTGAATGGAGTTACTAATGAGCTTATTTATGGATTAGTGATCACTTTTCATGAAATGCCCCCTGGGTTTCTTTTCCAATATTCAATTAAAGTTCAATCCTAACAATCATAGAGCGTGTTTGAACAGTGCTTATAAATGGTTTATATTATAAAATAGATAAAATTGAGTGATGGATAATTGGATAGTACTTATTGCTCCTTCAAAATATGTGAATAAAAAGTGAATGCCTATAAACATGAGCCTAAGATAAGCTTACTCTAATTTTATATTGCATTTTACTACTACTAAAATGTCCAAATTGGATTTACTCTTACTCTTGTTTATCATTTAGACAATCTATCATTAAAATGGAAACATGGATTTAAAATTTAAAATACAGTCACCCATAGCATTAGTGCTTCTTGGTTAACACAGGCTTAAGGATTGATCTTTGCATAGTACCAAATTGATTCATTATGGTTGCAACAACAAATCAAACAATTCGGAGTTAAAAGAGAGGAGAAATAAGAGTGTAAGGGAACAGAAAGGAGAGAGAATAGAGAAGAATGGAGTAGAGAATTGAAGAAAGAGAAATAGAAGAGTAGGAGAAAGTGCAGGGAGAAAATTAGTTTAATCAATACATCAAAAGTTGTCCAATGAATTGGCCTAATTTTAAGCAATAATACAATGAGGAAATAAAACTTAAATTGTCTCAAAATATATCAGTACAATAAGGAAATATAAGTACATATAAACATGGAAAGTCTTTAATTAAATATCTTTAGAATCTCTATCACCTGCCTTCGTTAATTTGAACTTGAAATTTTGGTTGATATACGAGTGATCAGGATACGCTTTTTTGACATTTAACTTGATAAATTGATCTTTGTAATGTGATAAATTTAGATGATTGTAGGCTTCCTACCATTCAATGCAAAGCCAGAAAATGGAGTACCTATAATTTATGAGAAATTATTCAATGAGCACCAGTGTTCATCTTATTCTAAGCACTGATCATGTGCTATATTAATTCATTGGTAGATAAAGATTGTGAATTCCAACATTTGAATTAAGCTTTTTATTCACCAATAAATTAATATGACATATTAATGGTGTTTAATATATGATGAACACCAATACTCATTAGATTATTCTATATAACAAGTTTAACCATAAAAGGCATCGGAAATTCTCCTTCTCTTCCTCTCCCTTGCCCATTCACCCTCTTGAGTGTGCGAATGGATGCACATGTGTAATCAAAATACAACTTGACTCTAATTTGTAAACATTTATAACATAAGAAAATATTGTGGATTATGATTTTGGTTATGAAAAAGTTATAGTAACATCACTGTAACTATTGCACTTATAAATTACGTGGCATATGCATGATAGAAGGAGTCCCACATTGGACAACTTGGCATCAATTATTTAATTGAATTGTATCTATTGAATCAAGTAAGTGAAAATTACAGGAACCAAGTGTTTTCAAGATCTCAATTCATAATTAAGAGTTACAAGTATGTTTTTTTCTTTTCTTTTTTTCAAAAATCAGATATAAATAATAATATAATAAAACTAATTAACATACC